TATTACAAGAAGGTCCGGATTTATAGAATTAAAAAATTAAAAAATCAGTATGCAAGAAGTACCAGTAGGACTTACTACTTACAGGGAGATTATGAAGTGCGCATCCCATGCATGCTGCGCTATCCCATGATGCCCCGCGATTGAATTTATGAATGGGAGTGAAGCGACGCAAATGTCGCAGGTAGGTCACGTGACCATGACAAAATGGCGGATGTAGTACGTCCGAATTCTGTTCATACTTTTTACATTCATACTGTATAGAACGTACTTTTTTAACGGCTGAGTAGTACGTTTACATTCAAATGCATTACCTACTGAGTAGTAGGCGGTTTCGGACGCAGCCCAGGACGATTTATACACCTCACTTTGACATACACATTGTAGTGATGGGCAAAGCGAGGCTTCATAAAACACTGAAACAGTCGTTGCAAATGTGTCGAAGCTCTGAAACGTTTCGAAACCTGTCTCTTTGAAAACCAGTGACACCTAGAGGTTATTTTTATGTATTGCTCTGGAACAGCTATAGCAAAGAAACAGCTAAGCAAATTGAGGTATTAAACCCCACGTTGTAGAGTTGAAGCTTCAAGTGATTTAGTGGAGCGCTGAGAGTTCCAGACTAGCATGCAGAGATAATGGGTTTGAATCCAGGGTGATGCATCTCTAGATGTTAGTTTTTAAATGCTCTGTTCTTGTAACGTGTTTTGTTTTCAACATTGGTCTGAGATCCAACTGAACACTTTGTGAATAAATATGTCTTGTTTTAGTCATAAAATGTAACATTATTAAAATACATCGTCATAATTTTCAAGCACAGATTCGCCAGTACTCGAAACGCTTTAAATCGATGCTTTAAATCGCTTTAGTCATGTGACCTGATGTTTCGAAACACTTTAGTCACATGACCTTGGTGTTTCGAATCACCTCGGTCATGTGATCTGGGTGTTTTGGATCATGCTTCAGTGCAGTGTTTCGAAATTTGCGCTTCAAGATGTCGAAACGTCAGTTTCACGTCAGCCATTACTAACACATTGCTGAGTCTTGTTTCTCCCACGAACATTACAAGGCATTTTTCCTGTTTGTACAACCGTGTTTTTGATCCTTGTCTTGTTTACCATTTTTAATTATTTGCCGCCTGTCCTGACCACTTGACTGTTTCTGAATACGCTTTTTGGATTACCCTCATGCTCCAGTGTGTATCCGTTTGACTGTTGCCTGCCTGTCTATTCTTTAAATAAACTACACGTGAATCCTCATCTCTGTTGCCAGGATCGCTACGTTACATTACCAGAGTACAATACAAAAGCCAGACATTAACAAATCACCCCTCATTTCCGTAAAAAAATAATAGAAGATGCTTATTCAACAACATAAGCTTATTGTCTTATTCATCACATTATAATACATCTGTCCATCTGTACCTCAGAAATGATACGTTAATTTTTAACTATAGCAAAAACTGAAACCCTTCCAAAACTCTTGAAGAAAGAGAAGATAGAAAATTGGAAGACAAACATATCAGTAATTTACTATAAGCTCTCACCTCCAGTCAGGCCTGTAGGTGTCTGTGGCTTTTGGGCTTTTCAGGACCAAAAGCAGAAACTCATGCATCTCCAACAGGAAGGCATCAGCGCTGGACTTGGTGAAGAAACTTGTGAGCAGTCTCTTGTGTTCCTCCTGCAATGGCTGCTTGTATTCTTTACTGATTCCAACGAATGGATCCTAAAGAGCAGATGAATAAGTCATTATTATCTTACAATCTCAACCCAGATAGTCGACTTTACAAGAAAATTTTGTGGAAACGCAATGCCTTACATCACTCCTAAATCAGTTTTTACACAAGGTTAAACTAAACAGCCCAAGTTGAATTAACCCAGAAACTTGTTCTATGCTGTTCTAAATCAATTAAACTTGGGCTTTTTAGTTTCACCGTGTGGATGTGGTTCAAGGCAATGGGTTTCCATGGAATATTCTGTAACCCTTTACTTGAAGAGGGGTGTTTATAAGACACAGAACCCTTATAAGCATTACGTGACACATGAGTGAGATTTTATGCATGCTTATGACAACTATTTGCTCAGTTGTCATTTTGCATGTGAAGATGTCATTGTTTGATATGACAACATGACGTAAATTAATACATCACAACCAGTATTTATCTTCGTTATGACAACTTGACATTACCAAGGAAACATAACTTGTCATAAATCTGTCATAAACATGACTGTCGTGCAGCCATTATATGCGTGTCATGAATATTTTTCTGATCACTTTTTTAGTGGAGCAACTGTATTTGTTAAAATGTCTCATTAAAAGTGTAATTGTCGTGTCAAATAGTTTTTACCAGCGTCAATAATATTCAAATTCAGCTTGTACCACTGTAGTTGACGTAAAAAAAAAAATATGATGATGGTATAAAATTCATGAAATATTTATAATGACTTCATGACAATCATGTTTATTACAGATTTATGACAGTTTCTTTCTTTTCTTAGTAATTTCAAGTTGTCATAAAAAAACAAAATGTTAAAAAACAATGACAGTTGGTATAAGGATGTTTAAAATGACACGTCATATCATAATTATAACGGTTTCATGGCAGCCTTATAAACACATCTTCAAGTAAAGCAGGGGTCACAAACCCTGCTCCTGGAGAGCTACCTTACAGCACATTTCAGTTGCAACCCTGACCAAACACACCTGTTTGTAATTATCAAGTGGTGCTTTAGGTACTATTAATTGGTTCAGGTGTGTTTGATCAGGGTTGGGCCTGAATTCTGCAGGAAGGTAGCTCTCCAGGAACAGGGTTGGTGACCCCTGAAGTAAAGCGTTACCCAAATTTTCTAATAAAGTCCACTACTTGGATTGAGAGTGTACAAACTCACTGAAGCAACAAACCAGAATAAAGTATTATCTGTGGGTATCCATCTTACCCTCTTCAGACGTAGCATTGTCTCAGATTTCAGAGAACTGAGTAGCTGCCAAAGGGCCACACAGTGCTTCAGGCTGCACCGACTCAATGCCTGCACACACAATTGTATTTCAATCACACATTTGGCGTCATTCATAAAACACAAGCAGAGCAAAGATTTGTGTATACCCTCTATAATGGTGCTCTGATGTACATTTTCAGATTCAAGCAAGTAAGATGGAACGAAAATATTTGTACACCTGCACCCGACTACATGTAAAGGAGTAATAATTCTGTTTTTTAATTGATTACCTTAAATACTGGTGCTCTGACATAATATATGCATCCCAAATCACATACTTATGCACGATTCTGCACCATTATAGTTAACGAAAACAAAAAAATGAAACTAAAATGTAAAATAATTGTCGTTAACTGAAATAAAAATAGGGCAAGGCAGTGGCGCAGAAGGTAGTGCTGTTGCCTCACAGCAAGAAGGTCACTGGGTCGCTGGTTCGAACCTCGGCTCAGTTGGCGTTTCTGTGTGGAGTTTGCATGTTCTCCCTGCCTTCGCGTGGGTTTCCTCCGGGTGCTCCGGTTTCCCCCACAGTCCAAAGACATACGGTACAGGTGAATTGGGTAGGCTAAATTGTCCGTAGTGTATGAGTGTGTGTGTGAATGTTTCCCAGAGATGGAAATTATGGTGTTACAGCATTAAACATTTATTAATATTATTCATTCAGCCTCGCCATACAGTTTGATGGATCTCTTGGACTTTGAAGCTGCATCAGCTGACTTTATATATATTGTAAGGCCATTCACCCAATGTAAGTATACAGATCCTATGTAATACCAGTGAAAATGGCATCCACCACGATATCAAACAAGGAAGAAATGTGTTTATGGCAAACCTTGAAGACATGCGTAGCCATGTGGTCAGTCATCTGCAGCACATCCTTCAAATAAACGCCTAGCTGCATGTTTGGCTCTCCCCCTGTCATAGCAAGGAAACCGACAGCTAGCTCAACTGTGGACAATGCCTCACACACGTCGCTGTAAGACTGTAGCTCCTTGACGAGGTCATACTGTGTCAGAGGCTGCAACAACTCCTGTAACAACACATTCAGAGTCATGTTTGTATATTAGCTCTTATATTTTTTTACTTTGTACTTTTTTTTCTACAACCACATACTCAGTCGAAAGTCTTTAAATAGTTTTTATTTGCTTTTATTGCATAACTTGTATTTCTCCAAATATAGATCCTTATTGTTATTGCTATCATTATTTTATTAGGGGCCAAGCACCGTAGGTGCGTAGGCACCTATTGCTTTCGTTAGTGTTCTTATTATTATTAGGGGCCAAGCACCGTAGGTGCGTAGGCACCTATTGCTTTCGTTAGTGTTCTTATTATTATTATTATTAGGGGCCAAGCACCGTAGGTGCGTAGGCACCTATTGCTTTCGTTAGTGTTCTTATTATTATTATTATTATTCTTCTTCCGTTTCTTCCGCCGGATTTGAATGGCAGCCCATATAGGCGTATGCGGGAAAGTTGTATAATTTGGCACAATGATAGAGGCCAGTATTAGCATTAATCAGGCCAAATATGAAGTCTCAAAATCAAACTCTCTAGCGCCACCACTTGTCCAAACTTTCACGTATGTTTATCATGATAACTTTTGAACCGAATGGGCTACAATCAAAATTCTTTTTTCCTCTGATTCCTTGGCTCAGTCCGATTCAAACCCACCCTATGACGTCATTTTCCGTCATGAATTTTTTCGCGCTATTTTAAATTTTTCGAAAAACCTATTTGATCGAACTCGTCCTAGGCCGTGTCTCAGATTTTCACCAAAATTGAATCACATGATCTACAGACCATGCCAACCAAAATTATGGAATCCAAGTTGTTTCGACCAACCGTTTTCGTTTAACTTACGAACTAATTTAACGTAGAACTTGCAAAAATGGACTTGAGGCGATATCTCCGTAACGCATTCACCGATTCACACCAAACTTGGTGTGTGTTATGACAACTAGGGTCTAAGAATAATTGCGGAGTTTCGGCGCACTGCCCCCTACTGGTCCGGAGATACTAAAAACTTGCTTTTTGGCTTATAACGTCTCAACCTTTCGTCCGAAACTCATAAAACTGGTCTCATTACATCCGGCAGAGCATGCCGAGTCGAATGATGTCTGATTTTCACAGGTCAGCCATTTTGGGCGTCGCCCATTTCGATTTTTGGCCAAAAATGCTATATTTTACCAACACATTCACATATAATTACAAAACATGGTATGCATCTTCAATTCCATGCCCTGAAAGTACTCAAAAACATCTGGAGCAGCGCCACCTTATGGCCAATAGTGCTTGGCCCCTTAATTGCTGCTTGCAGCTATATTTATTATTATTATTCTTCTTCCGTTTCTTCCGCCGGATTTGAATGGCAGCCCATATAGGCGTATGCGGGAAAGTTGTATAATTTGGCACAATGATAGAGGCCAGTATTAACATTAATCAGGCCAATTATGAAGTCTCAAAATCAAACTCTCTAGCGCCACCACTTGTCCAAACTTTCACGTATGTTTATCATCATAACTTTTGAACCGAATGGGCTACAATCAAAATTCTTTTTTCCTCTGATTCCTTGGCTCAGCCCGATTCAAACCCACCCTATGACGTCATTTTCCGTCATGAATTTTTTCGCGCTATTTTAAATTTTTCGAAAAACCTATTTGATCGAACTCGTCCTAGGCCGTGTCTCCGATTTTCACCAAAATTGAATCACATGATCTACAGACCATGCCAACCAAAAGTTATGGAATTCAAGTTGATTTGACCAACCGTTTTCGTTTAACTTGCGATCAAATTTAACGAAGGACTGCAAAAATGGACTGAGACGATATCTCTGTAACGCATTCACCGATTCACACCAAACTTGGTGTGTGTTATGACAACTAGGGTCTAAGGTTAATTGCGGAGTTTCGGCGCACTGCCCCCTAGTGGTCCGGAGATACTAAAAACTTGCTTTTTGGCTTATAACGTCTCAACCTTTCGTCCGAAACTCATGAAACTGGTCTCATTACATTCGGCAGAGCATGCCGAGTCGAATGATGTCTGATTTTCACAGGTCAGCCTTTTTGGGCGTCGCCCATTTCGATTTTTGGCCAAAAATGCTATATTTTACCAACACATTCACATATCATTACAAAACATGGTATGCATCTTCAACCCCATGCCCTGAAAGTACTCAAAAACGTCTGGAGCAGCGCCACCTTATGGCCAATAGTGCTTGGCCCCTTAATTGCTGCTTGCAGCTATATTTATTATTATTATTATTATTATTATTATTATTCTTCTTCTTCTTCCGTTTCTTCCGCCGGGTTTGAATGGCAGCCCATATAGGCGTATGCGGGAAAGTTGTATAATTTGGCACAATGATAGAGGCCAGTATTAACATTAATCAGGCCAATTATGAAGTCTCAAACTCAAACTCTCTAGCGCCACCACTTGTCCAAACTTTCACGTATGTTTATCATGATAACTTTTGAACCGAATGGGCTACAATAAAAATTCTTTTTTCCTCTGATTCCTTGGCTCAGTCCGATTCAAACCCACCCTATGACGTCATTTTCCGTCATGAATTTTTTCGCGCTATTTTAAATTTTTCGAAAAACCTATTTGATCGAACTCGTCCTAGGCCGTGTCTCCGATTTTCACCAAAATTGAATCACATGATCTACAGACCATGCCAACCAAAAGTTATGGAATTCAAGTTGATTAGACCAACCGTTTTTGTTTATCTTGCGAACTAATTTAACGTAGAACTTGCGAAAATGGACTTGAGGCGATATCTCCCTAACGCATTCACCGATTCACACCAAACTTGGTGTATGTTATGACAACTAGGGTTTAAGGTTAATTGCGGAGTTTCGGCGCACTGCCCCCTAGTGGTCCGGAGATACTAAAAACTTGCTTTTTGGCTTATAACGTCTCAACCTTTCGTCCGAAACTCATGAAACTGGTCTCATTACATCCGGCAGAGCATGCCGAGTCGAATGATGTCTGATTTTTACAGGTCAGCCATTTTGGGCGTCGCCCATTTCGATTTTTGGCCAAAAATGCTATATTTTACCAACACATTCACATATCATTACAAAACATGGTATGCATCTTCAACCCCATGCCCTGAAAGTCCTTAAAAACTTCTGGAGCAGCGCCACCTTTTGGTCAAAAGTGCTTGGCCCCTTAATTGCTGCTTGCAGCTATATTTAGGGGCCAAGCACCGTAGGTGCGTAGGCACCTATTGCTTTCGTTAGTGTTCTTATTATTATTATTATTATTATTATTAGGGGCCAAGCACCGTAGGTGCGTAGGCACCTATTGCTTTCGTTAGTGTTCTTATTATTATTATTAGGGGCCAAGCACCGTAGGTGCGTAGGCACCTATTGCTTTCGTTAGTGTTCTTATTAGGGGCCAAGCACCGTAGGTGCGTAGGCACCTATTGCTTTCGTTAGTGTTCTTATTATTATTATTATTATTATTAGGGGCCAAGCACCGTAGGTGCGTAGGCACCTATTGCTTTCGTTAGTGTTCTTATTATTATTATTATTATTATTCTTCTTCTTCCGTTTCTTCCGCCGGATTTGAATGGCAGCCCATATAGGCGTATGCGGGAAAGTTGTATAATTTGGCACAATTATAGAGGCCAGCATTAACATTAATCAGGCCAATTATGAAGTCTCAAAACCAAACTCTCTAGCGCCACCACTTGTCCAAACTTTCACATACATTTATCATCATAACTTTTGAACCGAATGGGCTACAATCAAAATTCTTTTTTTCCTCTGATTCCTTGGCTCAGTCCGATTCAAACGCACCCTATGACGTCATTTTCCGTTATGAAATTTTTCGCGCTATTTTAAATTTTTCGAAAAACCTATTTGATCGAACTCGTCCTAGGCCGTGTCTCCGATTTTTACCAAAATTGAATCACATGATCTACAGACCATGCCAACCAAAAGTTATGGAATTCAAGTTGATTAGACCAACCGTTTTCGTTTAACTTGCGAACTAATTTAACGTAGAACTTGCGAAAATGGACTTGAGGTGATATCTCTTTAACGCATTCACCAATTCACACCAAACTTGGTGTGTGTTATGACAACTAGGGTCTAAGGTTAATTGCGGAGTTTCGGCGCACTGCCCCCTAGTGGTCCGGAGATACTAAAAACTTGCTTTTTGGCTTATAACGTCTCAACCTTTCGTCCGAAACTCATGAAACTGGTCTCATTACATCCGGAGAGCATGCCGAGTCGAATGATGTCTGATTTTCACAGGTCAGCCATTTTGGGCGTCGCCCATTTCGATTTTTGGCCAAAAATGCTATATTTTACCAACACATTCACATATCATTACAAAACATGGTATGCATCTTCAACCCCATGCCCTGAAAGTACTCAAAAACGTCTGGAGCAGCGCCACCTTATGGCCAATAGTGCTTGGCCCCTTAATTGCTGCTTGCAGCTATATTTATTATTATTATTAGGGGCCAAGCACCGTAGGTGCGTAGGCACCTATTGCTTTCGTTAGTGTTCTTATTAGGGGCCAAGCACCGTAGGTGCGTAGGCACCTATTGCTTTCGTTAGTGTTCTTATTATTATTATTATTATTATTATTATTATTATTCTTCTTCTTCTTCCGTTTCTTCCGCCAGATTGAATGGGCAGCCCATATAGGCGTATGCGGGAAAGTTGTATAATTTGGCACAATGATAGAGGCCAGTATTAACATTAATCAGGCCAATTATGAAGTCTCAAAATCAAACTCTCTAGCGCCACCACTTGTCCAAACTTTCACGTATGTTTATCATCATAACTTTTGAACCGAATGGGCTACAATCAAAATTCTTTTTTCCTCTGATTCCTTGGCTCAGTCCGATTCAAACCCAACCTATGACGTCATTTTCCGTCATGAATTTTTTCGCGCTATTTTAAATTTTTCGAAAAACCTATTTGATCGAACTCGTCCTAGGCCTTTTCTCTGATTTTCACCAAAATTGAATCACATGATCTACAGACCATGCCAACCAAAAGTTATGGAATTCAAGTTGATTTGACCAACCGTTTTCGTTTAACTTGCGATTAAATTTAACAAAGAACTTGCGAAAATGGACTTAAGGCAATATCTCCGTAACGCTTTCACCGATTCACACCAAACTTGGTGTGTG